ATAGCAAGTAATGGTTCCCCTGTGTCAGGATGGTATGACCATGCACATGTGTAGAAACTCTCCTCTGGCCATGAGTTGTTAAAGGTTTATAACGATGAATGCAGCTAAAGCACTTTAAACTCACTAGTGTCTCAACAAACAGACTGGGTACCAACTGAGAACAGTATACAATAATCTGCAGGGGTTTCATTAAGAGCCGGGCACCGGCCAAATTGACCGTTTGTAAGGACAGTTTTGCCCAGCTGGTTTAACAATCTGGAGGAAGGTTTATCTTATAAAGAAGTTTAGTTCAAAAAGTTTTGCCCGCCTGTGAAAACCAGTTGCCCTCCTGCTGAAAAAATTAATGAAACCCCTGAATCTGTCAAGTAAGAACGACTAACCTCCTTTGACAGAACTGAAAATAATGCCTGTCTTATTTACTTTATGTAATTATATATGTCTTCATGTTACTACAAGTATTACCTCTATCTATAAAAGGTATTTGAAAACATTTCACTGACTTTACCACAATATGATCAACATTCCTTTTTTTTGGACACCCCTCTCCCACCCAAGCACCATAAATTTGTAAGGCAGAGGGTAAGTAAAAGTCCTCATAAGTTTATATAAAAAAAGATACATCAGCATCCATATAAGCTTGAAGTAGCTTGATCACACCCTTTGCTTCACACTGGTAGATTGTCACCTGAAGACAAATCACATTTTTCAGAATTCGCATTCTCTATTTTATCTCCACTTTACCACCTTGGCAGACCCTTCACATAATATGATTTTCTTAAGGTTCAAAATAAATTTCTACTCATGACAAATACCAAACATCTTTCTTTACCAAGTGACCAGGCTCAACATTTATTGCCAGTCTCACTCTAAACCTTCCTGNACTAGCACGAATGGTTCCTATGTTCCTTTCTAGTCCTTCCCCACTGCAAATAATGCAGTGAAAATGGAGTAAATTAAATTAAATATCTTTGATAGAATCCTAATGAGAAATGTAGATGTTTCCTTTCCTTCTTATTACGCCAGCAACAGATACACAAAGTTTTTCTTTTTCATTAGTTTATATTACCCTGTTGCTTCCGACTGTTGCAAACATGTTCAGATCATCAGTTCCTTCTGGCACATTGTGATTAAACTGTATAGCAAATATAGGCTGTTTGTGATCCTCCTGTTACACCCAGATAAGAGAAAAAAAACTTGTCAACAAAATCCCTGTCTACATATTATTAATGATAAAAATGTCACAAGCCTTGCTTTTGCAACAAAACAAATATCCCATTTCAGAATTACCTTTGGCCTCTTTTTCAAAGCAAGACCCGGTGCTCATACTTTCATATGATTATAAGTTTCCATTCACAAGCAAATTATGCTCATTTTCATGAGTATGGTTAAGCATCAGGCCACATTTTAAAAAAAGAGTCCAAAAGTAATTTGGAAATGGCCTATTATGCAGTAGATTATGGAAGCAACAAGTATTTCCTAATACCCCAAATTCATATATTATTCAAATTTGATTGATTCTAACCTCAGCTATGAATAAAGTGGCCACATGGGATAAACTTATGGGTACACAAGAAACTCTGAAATATAGCTCGACTTGTCCTGGTCGACATATCTGTGGCCATACCATGTCATATCTTAACTGATATAGCAACAACAATTCACTTAATCTTATTTCATCTGGCTCACTGGTTGGAAACCTACACACCCCGTAAGTATATAGCTTTTTATTACCATGATATAAAAGCAATTTCTCCTAACAAATAACCAGAGCAGTTCTTCAATAAAAGCAGCACATTCTGGCGGAAAACTTTCTTAATTCTCACCAAATGTCTGCATGACATATCTGATTGCGAGGAGATTCTACCCAGTGATCACAAGTGATATGGCGAGCTCACTCGCGAGTGGTAAAGACAAAATAAGAAGCTTAGCAATTAGTACACGCAAGAAACAAAAACAAGCGATCTGTAAATTTCAAGCTTTTCAAGTTGAAAAGCGAGGCACGTGGTTCTCAGCTCTGACAAAAAAATGAAAAAATGCGCGGTAAACATCAAAAACCAGATCTTCAAATGTTATCACACGAACTTTAAATAAAGAGAAAGGATGTAACAAAAAAGAGATTTACCCTGAGAAAATTGGCGCATTTGAAGGCTAAACTTTTCTTCTTCCTGCCTTTTCCACGGAATCCTCTCTTTAAGATTGCGGCTTGTGTTGAATTCGAATTGGAACTGCTGACAGTCGAATCATTGTCGCTGTCTTCCTCGTCAAGTTTAGCTTGTTTCCCTCCTCTTTCGAGTTCTACATCTGATCCTGTGCCTTCCGCATCCACAGGATCCTCTGTCTGAAGAGACGATGGTGTTTCTTCGGTCATTGCTCAAATCAAACTCTGATCAGATTTCTGTTTTGTTCCCACTCAGGCGTCAAAACGTGGTCGATACACTATCTGTCACATACACGACTACTCTTTAGCAAAATGTCACGCAGTTGTGACCCAGTCTTCTTCTCCCGCCGCCGGGGAAATACATTTCTGACAAACGTACGCTTGTGAAAAGTAAACACAAGGAACATTTCCATTTTTTTTCTAATTCTTCAACCCGTAACGGAGCTACTGGAGTGCAGCTTCCATTATCAGTATTTTAAAGTCATAGCCAATGACATTTCTCTTAAATTCATCCCGTGGCTGATAAATGTTTGTAAGAAAAGCATCCAGGAAATAATTCAATTTAACATCCACAAGATAAGTATAAACCTGAAAAACTGACCAATCACCGCGCAGCATGATTTCTAGGAAACTTAATTATAGATAAAGGACGGCATTTTCTTAGAAAATGTTAAACTTCGTAGAAGTACAAATTAGAGCACGTTAGAACCTATTCTTAACGCGATAACGGAAAAATCACGGAGGTATTTAACTTTTTAAAGTTCAAGATGGCGCCCAGTATCTCCTGGTAGATTTTACGTCCAATTTCGTCCATAATGGCGAGTGTTAGTGGGAAAACAAGTTTATCGCATCCCCTACTTAGTTCTCAGATTGAAGAAAAGTTTTCTGCGAATCAACAAACGCAGAAGATTTACGATAAAAAAGATACATGGAGGCAGGAAATGGAACTTATCATCCAAGAGCTGTACCCTAGCTGTTGCCTTGTGATGTGAGGTTCGTCTGCGAACGGATTTGGAAGCATCGAAAGCGACATCGATTTGACTCTGGTGCTGGGCATCGAAGGCACAACTGCTAATGCCAGAGAAACATATACGCTCAGGAGAATCGAATCACTCTTCAGTCGTAAACCTCGCCGCTTTGAAACAGAGGTATCTGCGTCTCTTAAGGCTACTTTGCAGCAGACCTTTGTCAATTTGTTATTTTAATTCACAATTTAATCTGGTATTTCTTTTAGCTTGAGATAGTTATCTTGCATAACTGCATCTGCAGTCCCTTCTTTGTTTCTTAATTATCACGTTCTTGGAACAAGTGCGTTGCTGGAACGTGAAAGTGAAATTTTTTACATGTTACAGCTACAGAAAGGCCATTAAGGCATTTCTAGGAGAGTATTTGCTATTTATTCCAGGTTGTTCCAAATGCCAAAGTCCCCATAATTATACTCAAGGATAAAGAGAAGTCGTTTGAAACGGACATCACTTTGGAGAGCTGGAGCAGCTTGAAAAACGCCTTCCTTTTAAAATGTTATTCTGAGTGTGACTCACGGGTGAAGCCGCTGACAATTGTGATCAAACTGTGGGCTAAAAAGGCTCAAATTGTTGGAGCCAAATTAAAGAGGCTTCCAGGTAAAGTATCAAGGAAATTGAAGGTGATTAGAGAAAGGCCGCGAGAAAGACAGAAAGCAAAGAGGATATCGTGTTGTATTTTTGACTGAGTCACTTTATTCTCACGCTATACCTGTGAATCGTGACGATAATTTGCATTTCCCTTTATCACGAAAACCTTAGAGACTTTTTCTACAGTTTGTTGCTTTTTACTAGGTCATTAGTTAGACCTCATAACCTGATTGAGACAAGTTAATTAGCACTGGGGGCCTAAGTGCCAGGAGACATTCGGACTCTTAAGATCTCTTGTATAAACGAACCAGATCAGCTATATTATATTGAGAAGTTCGAAAGTAGTCATCTTTAACCGTGATGTGTTAACCGCGATGTGTTAACCGTGATGTGTTAACCGTGATGTGTTAACTGTGATGTGTTGACCGTGATGTGTTGACCGTGATGTGTTGACCGTGATGTGTTGACCGTGATGTGTTGACCGTGATGTGTTGACCGTGATGTGTTGACCGTGATGTGTTGACCGTGATGTGTTGACCGTGATGTGTTAACCGTGATGTGTTAACCGTGATGTGTTAATAAATTTTGCTGCCGGTCATTTTCTATTATGTCCAGGGTTTGCTATCGTTCTCATGGCTATTCACTTCCTACAAGCCGGCTGTTCTCCGCCCGTCCTGCCTGTACTGCATAAAGACTTCCCAGAACTCATCAAAAACACGTCAGATAACAAAGTGATTCACCAACTAACCGATGAAATTCCACTTCAAATCCAGACGTACAACTCAACAAACAAGCAGAGTCTCGGAGAGTTGTTAATCGCGTTTTTCCGGTATTATTCTGCTTTCCAGTGGTCAGAAACCATTTCTGTTCGTGCTGGGAACACAGAACCCACCAACATGTATTCTAGGTTTTGGCGAGGACCCAAAATCAGAATTGAGGACCCCACAGACGGAGGAAATGTAACCAGAGCTGTGTTTGACGAGTATGAAGCTAGGCGCATTAAACAGTCTTTTAAGACTGCGTCAAACAATCTGAATAGGGACTCGTCTTTGGAAAGTATTCTTTGATTTACATCTCATCAAAAATATTAGTATGTTCTGAGATAAACCAATCGAAATCAATTTAGACTCGAAACATTATTGTTATTCTTATTATAAATATTACTATTGAAATGTTTGTAATATATAATTAAGTACAATCTTGTATTTGGTATGCCTGACCTAAAGTAAATGGAGTAAGTTATTCTGATTGTATAATTTAAGGGAGATACATAAACTCCGGGCACTTTATTGTTTTGTGGCATATAATTGACTTTTGTCTTTTGCTTATCTTAAATATCATAGCTAATAGGTTTGTAAACATTTTAATGTTTTTTTTAATTCATTTATCAAACACAAGACAGCAAACCAAGCAAGTACATTAAAACAATTTTTACTCCATCCGCGATTAGGATGTAACTGAACCACCGATGGAACTGAATAACTTTTAAGATTTCCGGAATGTCACGGATGGCAGTTTAAGTAACCTTAAATTTTTTAAGTAGGGATGTGATATATCATGTGAAGTATAACTATCGTTATCAACACAGTTAAACGTATTGACAACGAAAAGACTCTTTAACCTGGAGCTATTAAAAAGTTGAGGGATCTCAGGACAGTTGTCGCAAATTCAACTTTCTTTCTTATAAATTCCGTAGTGCTAAGAAAAAAGAGTGCGAGACTAATTTTTCAGTTCTCAGTAATAACAGTTTTACCTAAGCAAGATTTAACAAATCGATAGAAGTTATCTTAAATGAAGGATGGAGTTGCATAATTTTAAGGTGACAACCACAGCACGGTGTGGAAATAGTTTTGTGGTTTGCCTCTCTAATATAAAACGATTCATTCACTTGATATTGAAAAAAGGCAAACAAAAACTGAGGATGTATGATTTCTTTGCCCTGTTTCACACTCGTCGAGTAAAATGATTTTGAATTGAGTGATATTTGTAATTGTAAGAGAAATAATAATCGTTACCTGCGTTAATTTGATTATTTTGATAATATCAGAACGGGCAAAGAGCAATAACCCGAATTAATATAGCATTTTCGGTGAACAAGTTCGAATAATTATTAACAGCGATGTATTAAACTTCAGAAACACTCTTTGTAAACAAAATATCAGAATTTGCATTTTAATGACCACTCACAATTAACAATGCGTGGCATTTCTGGGAATTTTGCTGTTTACGGAAGTAATTGCGTTTTCTCAGAAAACGTTTGAAATTCCTCGAAGGAAACACAAATTCTCCAGTTAACGACGCTTGTTATCAGGCCAGAGGTCTATTATCTCACTCAGATTTGGGTCAATAATTATGGCAAGTAAAAACACTGATAGCAACTCTCAGTTAAGCTCTCAGGTTCAAGAGAAATTTTCAGCGAACCAACAAACGCCAAAGATTTATGATCAAAAGGATTCATGGCGGCGGGAAATGGAGCTTGTTATCCAAGAGCTTTATCCCACCTGTCGCCTTGTGTTGTGTGGGTCTTCTGCGAACGGATTCGGAAGCATCGATAGCGACATCGATCTGATTTTGACCACTGAAGGAAAGGCAGAGGGCGAATCCTACATGTTAAGGAGAATAGAGTCGCTTTTTACTCGAAAGCCTCGACGCTATGAAACAAGGGTGAGTTTTTGCAATCTACTCACTGACAGTTAGTTTCACTGTCTCGCTGCATGAGCTTTTTTGAAAAACGATGAATTATTCCATTCAGTTCTAAGGACATTTTTATTTGAAATGAAGCGATGTGAAGCGAAGAGTTGTATGTGTTTTATGCTGGACAAAGGTTGTCTCTTGTAGGTGGTAACCGACGCCAGAATTCCAATCATAAAGCTCAAAGACAAGGAGAAGTCTTATGAATCTGACATCTCCGTCAATAACTGGGCTAATGTGCGTAACGCTTTCCTTTTGAAATGTTACTCCGAGTGCGATCCAAGAGTGAAACCTCTGGTTGTCACCATCAGACTGTGGGCTCAGAAGGCTGAGATTACCAACGCAAGATTACACCGACTTTCTGGTATTGCCTCAAAAAGGAAAATTTTCCTTATACTCTTTCAGTTACACGGATATGTTATAATGTTAAACAATTCATCAATTTACCTTCAACTCATTGTTATGCTATAAAATTGTGCAGTCCATGAAACCACGAATCTATTTTTTAATTCTTCTTGTAATCAATTTTTTCTTTTTCCAATGAGTAGACACTTTCTATTCACTTCCTAAGTGACGAGATGGGTGAAAAGGGAGGGGGAAGCGGGGCTGAAGCTGGAAGCCCACTTGATAGGCAACGCTCTCCTATTGTGGAAGTCAACATGGTGACTTTTAAAAATCCCTGATATCTTGCAATTACTTGATTTAGTTATTCTATATGGCGAAGGTTTGATATCTCACCAGGTCTCTACTTTTTTTTTTTTTTCGGTCAACAGGTTTCGCAGTCGTGCTACTTGTCATCAATTATCTACAAGCTGGGTGTTCCCCTCCTGTTCTGCCCGCCCTCCAAAAAGATTTCCCAGAACTCTTTCGATCAACAGAATATGATGTCATATCAAAACTCACCGGCAGCGCTCCTCCGCAAGTAAAATCATACAAATCGAAGAACACCCAAAACCTTGGTGAGTTAATGATCGGTTTTTTCAAGTACTACTCCTCTTTTGATTGGAAGAAAACCATATCTGTTCGAATGGGGAATACTCAGCCAACTTCACGATATGGAAGAGTTTGGAGTGGACCCTACATTAAGCTGGAAGATCCAACAGACGAAGGAAATGTCACAAGGGGCGTGTATAACTCGAGTGAATTCACACGTATTAAGAATGCCTTTGAATCTGCCTCGTCTCAGCTGGAACAAAAAGCATCTCTGCAAGACATTTTCTTAGGTTAGAATGATCAACATCTGAAGCGAGGAGAAATGAAAGTTAGCTTTAAAACAGAAGCCTAGCTAATTCAAAAGTTATTTGTATGCCAGTAAAAGATTTTGATGCACATAATCACAAATATATCCTTTAGCTGATGATCGTAGCCTTTGTGGTGATAACTAGGGGGTGATAGTGGTATAAAACACAAGTATGCATTACAGACCTATCTAAACTATTGTGGGGTATTTTGTTAGAAAATTGTAGAAGAATAGGTCATTAAACTAAACCGGGAACTAGTCAAATGGAGTACACACATTTTTTTTAACATAAAAGTAGAGTTCATTTTATTGTTCTTGACATTAAAACAAAATGATCATTGAGATTTTCAGTAGAACGACCGAATGAAGCAACAAGTAGATTTAGTTGCTCTTCAGCTGTTCACTTCCTCCTGTACTTGAAGATTACAACTAAATTTTTTTCACTGTAGCTTAGTGGCTGAGGACTATCTGTGATAGTTTACGTGAACCGTGTAGCTCTGCTCAATTCAACTGAAGTTGATTGCAAACTCAAAATGGATACCAGACAATGGTAAAAACTAAGTAACCATCAACGATATCAAACTAATTGCTATGGAATGAAAACAAAGCTATTTTATTTGTTGATGCTAAAATGGCCTTTAAATATTACATTTTCCAAAGTCACTAGGCTTTCGATAACAACGAACCAGTATTTATCTATTAAATAACGTTGAAGAACTGACACTCAATACAATACAATCAAATCAAGAAAAAAAAACTGAACTAACTCATTTGTCTTAGAGACAAAGTCTCGAAGGCAATACTGAGAGAATATCGACCGGCAATAGAGCATTTTGATTGGCAATTTTAGTTATTGGCCCTCTCACTGCCCGAGTCGCGTAATAAATATATATATAGCAGTATTGCTGCTCTTCAAAAGATAACAGAAAAAACTGCGGATGAATATCTAAATGAAAAAAAAAATTCAGTCTCCCATATTGTACTTATTAAAGACATGTGGAGCTTTCACATCGTAACTCTTGGCAATCCCAGTAAAATTTTTTCATCTAGTTTTAAACATGAAAATGGCTCTGGTAAAGAGATCACTCAGCTTCACAAAGAAAATTTGATTTTTTTGGCGAGTTTTAACTGTGTAAGGCCAAAATTCAAAATTGGAGTAATGTAGGGATCGACCTCGGTTTCATCTCAAATTCCTACAAGATTTCCTCCAAGGACGGATTGCGCCTCAACCGCGAGAGAGCGCTGCTGAACGCACTCTTGATGCGTGAGAACTCATAGGAATCATACACGGATCTGGCGACGTTACCTCCATCTGAGGGGTCCTCCAGGCGAATGCACGGTCTCTGCCATATCTTGTCGTACGTCGAAGTCGGTCGGGTATTTCCTGAACGAATCGACATGGTTCTACTCCAGTTAAAGGTGGAGTAATACTGAAAGAAGCCGACCACAAGCTCGCCCAGACTCTGCTTGTTACCGGAACTGAACGCTCGAATTTGAGCAGGGACATCATCTGAAGTAAGCTTGTCGATGATAATGCTGTTAGAAGCTTGAAAGACCGCTGGGAACATTTGTTGTAAGGCGGGCACAACAGAAGGGGTGCAACCCGCTTGAAGATAATGGATTACCAGGAGAACCACAGCGAAACCTAAAAATTAGGAAGAATCAAGATATAAAACGAGATCCTTGTAGCTCAGAGGTAGATCAGCTTATGCTATTTTCCTGTTTTCCTGTTTGGTTTCTGTAAATTTTGATTTTTCACTCTCTCTTATGCGTTTTGCTCTTAGTACAAGCCTACCATGTCACCCTGTCACCAAGAGTCACTCAGAAGTTACCCGCATCGTGTTATCTGAAAAGCTACTTATATCTTGGCCAGTCAAAATGAAGGGATGTTTACATGTGTATTATTGAGCTTGTAAGCGAATCAAACCAACCAACCATCCTTTCGTTACAACGAAAAATTGTTATCAACTAAATTATTATCAACTAAATTGATAATATAAATAGCCACCGTAAAGAGTTCTACAACTGATGTTTCGAGCATTTGCAAAACAATCTCTAAACGGTGGCCCATTTAGCAACGCTGTTCATAAAATCAAATTATTGGTGTTGTATTCCCTGCCAACGCAGAACCACATTTCTTTTTAAGAAACGTGCCCCCTTTATTCAACCTTTGATTAGCGATTTTTTGTAACTATCGGTACACTCCGTACCTGCAAGCCTTTTCAGTTTTGCATCAGTAATTCCTGCCCGTTGAGCCCACAGTTTGATTGCCATCACTAGTGGTTTCACTCTTGGGTCACACTCGGAGTAACATTTTAAAACGAAGGCGTTTTTCACGCTGGTCCAGTTTTCCACACTGATGTCAGTTTCAAATGATCTCTCTCTATCTTTGAGCTTGATGATAGGAACTCGTGCGCTTGGAATCACCTGGGGATTATTCAAAATTCAAAGTGAACTTAAAAACAAATCACTGTTTCATATAAATTGTTTAGTTTTCCAGTTAACAGCCTTATGATTTCCAAACTCAGGATGGTTTACAAAAATTCAAGCACACAGTGTCAGTCGACGATGAAAGTATATCTAGTAGATAATTTATATATGCTTAAAGTTGATGTGACCTTCCCGACATAACAGACTTCTGGGGCAGAACTGATGCCAATGATTGTCAAGTTATCATTGATCGACACTACCGAATAAATTATCAAGATTTTGCTAAAATGGTTTTAGTAATACTGAAGCCAGTATGGTTATGGAGAAGTTCAAAGCAAAATGTGTAATTTAGGCAAGTTTGAGATGATTTGGATGAGCCTTTGATGATAGTTTCCAGTTTCAATCAGTTTACAATAAAGTGAAGGTACTTTCTAGTTTCGAAAAATTAACATGCAACCCATTTTGGTGCATTGCTTTCCTCCTTAGACATTGGATTTACGCAGTAAACCGTGCCCTCTGTGAAAAGAATAAAATAAAATAAAAAAAGAAAGGACACAATACTAGGTATCAGACATGGTTTGATGCTGCTCTGGTTTAAAGATTTAATGAATGTAACCGAGAGGTTACAACGTTTCAACACTCCTGTCTAGTGCCTTCATCAGGGGTAATCTAGTCGTTGCAAGTAGAGTTCCTTTTATGTGCTCACTAATTAGCAGCCCTTTTTTCTGACGAGGTGTAAATAGGCCTCAGGAAGTAATCCGCCATCATCAAGATTTGAAGGAGCGATTAGATCACCCCTGATGAAGTCACTAGGCAAGAGTGTCGAAACGTTGGGTCTATTAATCGTAACTTCTTGGTTACATTCATTAAATCTTTATTCTCTAAATACGATGAACTATTGAATGATGTGTGGTATTACCTCTGTTTGAAAACGACGACGGTTACTCGTAAAAAGCGACTCTATTCTCCTCAACATGGAAGGCCCAGTCACTGCTACCCCTTCAAAGCACAAAACCAGGTCTATATCACTATGAATGCTGCCAAACCCGTTTGCGGACGAGCCGGAAAGAACGAGTCGACATGACGGGTAGACAGTCTTCACCAAATCCTCAATTTCCTTTCTCCATCGATTCTTCCGATCAAAAACTTCACTCGTTTGACGATTATCCTGAAACTTTTGCCGAATCTGTGCACCTAGTTGATGATACTGATCATTTCTCGAGCTGGAGTTGAAACTGGCCATGAAGGTTCAAGTGGCTAGTATCGAAAACCCAACAATAACGAACCCAGAGTACGACTTATCTGCCAAACTGCGTGATTCCTTTGGAAGGTGGATTTCAACTCGACTGAATGTGAAACAATCGCTGCACCACACTCTAATAACTACGAGAAACACTCGAGAGAATTCTAAGAAAACTTATATTTTCAAGCTGAAAACAAAAGTTGCATGACAGAATGACTTAACCGTGAAGCGATTAATCTGTAAGCTGATTGGTTATCGCGGTACATCAGACATTGACGTCAGTCACGTTTCTAAGAAACTTGATTACCTTCTCGGAATTCAGGATTCCAAGAAAGGGGCGACCTTTCAGGAATTCTAATTGGCTGTTCACGATGCCCACAATCTGGCAAGTTATCAAATTCCTACACGGATAAATTTTAACAATGTTTATTATATCATGATCTGCGTTAAAACCCGCTGCAGAACACAAGTTAAGTTATAATACCTTTACTTATTTGCTATTGGGTGTTGTATGGTCTTTGCATTATTAAAATTTGAGTCATTTCAGCAGAAACGATAACGAATACTTAGTATCCTAACTTCTCTTCATGGTGAACGAAAACAATGTCTCTCCTTCCTTTTCATTCCCAAATAAGGACATGTAGAACAGTCGTAAAGTTTATCATTGCTTAAAAAACTTACTGTAACCCGGACTGTTACCGATGGAACTAGGAATAATCTTCAACGCTAAAAGCTGGTATCTATGTTAACAACTTCGCTGGATGTTTCTTAAATCTCAGAAAACATTCGCTCGAACAGTCTTAAACCCTAGCATGTGGATAGAAGACATTTTGCTCTTTATTCTCGCTCAACCACTTCAACGTCAACTCGTCTATTTCTCGGACCTGCTCATTGCTGACGTCACTTTCCAGGAATTTTATTGTGGAGGAACTGTTGAAAACCAAAATAAGTTTTGTTATTCATTTATGATTGTCTCCCGACCGTCGGTAGACGTCTGTCCCAGATTCTTCGGATGCTGAATTTTATTTTTCACTCGAGGGAACTGAAGCTAGGCAACTTGAGGACTGGTATCGAGCTAAAACTAACGTTAACGTCCCGACAGCAAAAATTGAAGTTTTCATATGTCGTTAATGATTGCCCATAATAACAGCAATCTGGGACGCGTCGGAAAAATAGCAACGTTCCCGATTTGCCCGATTTGTCTTCGGCAATCGGGGATCTTTACGATTTAAAGCTTTCATTTGTCGGAAAAATCTGGGAGGGTCGTGAAACAGTGAAATCCTTGATAGTTTGTGATTTTCCCGACATATAAAAACTAGCCTCAACGTTCTTCGTTACTTGCAATGCGTGTAAAGGATTCACTTGTATCCCATCTCTTCTTCACAACTAATCAGTACAAATACGCACCGGATTCACTCACCAATTCCATCCCCTTATCAGTTAAAGTAATCAAACGATCCGCCGGGGAATGGAAAGCTTACCTCAGCTCTTTCCGAAGGGAATCCACGTCCCCGTTGTGCGAGCGAAAAAGGACGCCTCGGAATTGAAGCCAGTTGTGTACTGCTTCTTTCGTTGAACCAAGCTTCAAGAGCAACTGCGTATGCTTATAAACTGTCTCAGGATGTTCTGAATTGAAAGAATGTTGAGAATTGAAAGAATAGGGAAAATTGTAGTGTGGGAAAGTTGGAGCATTTTCAATTGAGTGATGAAAGAAATCCGTGATTGTGTTGTTTTACCTTAACTTCGCTCAGTCAGGAAAACTCGCGTCTTGGTTTCTTGCAATAGCCCAGTTCCGAATTACCTTTAGCCTCTTTCTCAAAGCGAGTACTGGTGCTTATCTTTTCATATGACGTTTTCATTCACATGTAAATTAAACTCATATTCACCAGAATTGAGCACCAGGCCTTGTTTTGAAAAAGAGGCACAGGGTAATTCGGAAATGGCCTATTTCCCGCGCTTACGGCCGCTCTGAGTTGTTATTGGCTCCCTGTAATATTTTCCTTGCTTCTGATTGACCGTGGTGATTACTTTGGTCTCGTTTTCATGACACTCAGTCGATAAGCGCTCTTATGGGGGAAGTTAGCTGCCACCACAAAACACGCTCTGACGCGATCATGTTTGTGACTCAGGGCCGTGTTTTGCCCAAGAACGAAATAAAAGTCAACCATGATGTTAACAGCCATAGAAAACCATTTTAGCTTTTCCAGGCTTCATTAGTTCAGTATTTTTTTTTTGTTTTCATACGACAGAGGGAATACGAGAGGGCAGCAAAAGAAAAATGACTCTCCTTCTCCATTTCTGCTCTATGTCCTTAACTTTTCTTTAAAAATATTGAATGTTTATAGAAGTTCAATATGGGGGAGATACGGTACTCGTAAAGATTCTGGTCAGAGCTCGAGCCGTTTGTGAAGAAGTTCACTCCATCAGTGCCTCTGCTCACCAACAAATGTTGATGGGTCGAACCACATTTTTCTCCCTACCGTTCGAGCAAAAGCCAAAAGCAGTTTTGTTTATGTCACAATTGATGCTAGTTATATAATCTACCTGGTGAACACTCAAGACTAAGATGCAACTGATGCAAAGCATCGTGGGTCTGACCCAGTCCGTCTAGAATAGAAGCCTTCTGATTGTAGGCTTGGACCTTAAAGGAAAGAAAAAACACACACATTACGAAAAAAAGACAGACAGCCAGTCGGTTGATCGGACGGCTAAAAGATGAAACTGTGGCACTACATGATTATCACAAAATCTAAATTCTATAATGATCTAGCATATTACCTAGACAGAGTCGTACACGGTAATTTAAGTATCTCAAGATAAATGATACAATCAAAACTAACTATGAAATAACTACAACAGGCGGACAATAGGCTAACTCAAACAATATAATTAAATTTGCTTTCTGCGAGTTTTTCATGAGTTCATCAAGCACGCAGACGCTACGTGCGTTCCTGAAAGGAACCTTTCACACGCAATTTTTTGGCCGCCTTCCTTTGTCCAGGGCGGTACACTCAGTGTTAACCTAAATTTGCCGACCAAAGAAAGTTACCTTTGACGAATAAAGTTAAACCCACCTTGCATTAAAAAATTGTATACTCACCTTTATTCTAACAGGCCTTCTCGATTTGTCAGCTTCGCTTTGCTCCTCACAAGAAACTTCTTCTCCTTCTGAGCAATAATTGAAAAAAAATAGGATTAATAGAAAAGGTTTCGCTGAAAACTTAAATAGGACCATAAGTGTTCTACAGACTCAACGCCTATCCCTATGTTGCCCAAGAGAGGTCGTCAGACTGATTAAAAGTCAACAGCGCGTCAAACGCGAGATATATGAGCGACTTCAGCTCAGTTGGCGACTACCGCGTGTTATATTTTTGCCGCAAGCCTTATCACTTGAACTTACCGCAGTCAAGCTTTCTCCTTTTCCTCTGTCGTCCATCGTCATCCTTGTCGCCTACTGAGTGGACATCTTCCAGTGCGATCAGTACCCTAGGATGATTTTGACAAGTTTGTTATCAAGTTAGATGAGAAGCTGATTTTTTTTTTTTTTTTTGGCAAAGTTATGTGATTGTTTCCAAGTATAAAGCGCTTGTAAACCCTGGTCTAACCCATCAGAAGACTTTTTGTTTTATCATTATCAAAAAAAACATCAGAAACCAGTCGCAAACTTTCAACGCCTGTTACGAAATGTTCCCCTGACTGGTTCATTGCGCTCTCTGGCGCATTGTAATTGGTCATACCGTACGTGGTTTTGATTTCAAAAATGCCAAAAGAATGGACTTGGAAGCGAAACACTTTACAAGGATTTAACTTGAACAGCAGATTTCTCCCTTTGGTTTTTCTTCCTTATCAGTAAAGCTAAATGTCACTAAAACTTGACAGTTTTCTCTTAGTACGCTGCAACGAAGCGACACGAAGCGACACGATATGTTGTGACATCGAACACGCATGACGAAGAATTCACAGTACCTGTTGAGAGACTGCAGGGCTTCTAGTGGTTTTTGAAGATGAACCAATGACTCTGCTTTCAACATAAGCACCTGGATATCTTCAGACACCGTTTCGTTATTAAAGGTGCTCAAAAAATCTTCCCCGTCATCGGATCGCACCCTTTTCCTGGGAGCTTTATCGTTTATACTTGATTCATTGTTGTGACCTTTGAAGGCGAAGACGAAGTAGAGTCAATTTCTAAAGCAACCTGTGATGAACAAGTTATTTTTCATTCAGGGGAACGGGAAGGTGGGGTTGTAGGCTAGCAGTGCGCCTGATAACCCAGGCTACAGACACCGAAATTAATGGGAAACATACCAAGAATGTTTTACACAGTTTGGGCTTAAAGCTAGTAGCTAACATAACTGGCAAGTATGTGTTACCTTAAACTAAACAAAGCATTTATTATACCCACAACTGGTCGGAGAAAAATCAGTTCGCTACTTTCAAAACGCAATGAGGAAGATGAAATCGCCAGGCGAAAACGGTTCTTAAAAAACTGACATGGCTGTTCGTAAGCAAATCTTGCGATATTTGTCTATCCCAGTAAACGGTTGAGGAAACCCCTTTTTGAGGGAAAGCTTATCACAAGCCGAATTCACTTCAAACATACCTTGTTCAGTAGGTTCGCCCTGCTCGATAGAAGTAAGAACTTTATCACAAATTGTCACCGCGTCTTCGTGTCTCTCAGCTTTAGACAGAGCAAGTGCACATTCTATATACAACTCGGTCGGACTGGGGAGAGTTCGGACGCTGAGCTGCCAAGATTGGAGAATCGTTAACAATGATTGTTGGTTGCATTTTAGCGAGAAATGATTATGTCTTTCATCGAGATGAAAACAAAAATCTAAATCCGAAAAAAAACATTATGAAATCCGGAGATGAGAACTGCAAGGAATCATGAAAATTTCTTTGAACTTGCAGCTGAAGACGGAATAACTAAGCTGGTTCAAAATGCATTTTAAACAAAAATACCGGTTAGAGTAAGAATGGCATGACATACTTACAAAGTTCGTCGTGCGCACTTCTACAATATTGACCAGTAACTCCAGATAGTTCGTCGCTGCTTCCTCGAACCTAGCAAAAGATATGGATGTATTGACTTTGATTTATAACGGGAGTAAATGCTGCCTATAGACGAAAAATGATGTATACCAACGATTAATGATGTGTTGTGACGGCTAATAACGTCTAACGACGGTAAAGGATCGCAGACGACGGTAAATGACGTATACCGATGGCAAATAAAATGCAGCAACCGTAAACGATGTTTAGGAATGACAAATAACGTGTGATTACCGTAAACAAAGCACACAAACCTTCCTAACTCTGAATATCTTTTTGCCAGTACGTAAGTAACCAATTCTTTTGACAAGCCAGCACTTGACTTCGAACTCCCCAAGGAAAATCTTGGAGGAACGGATAGTTCTGAATCTAAAGAGCCAAATTTTCGAAAAACATTTTTATCAGGAAAGAACTAAAGAGTATAAGTCGTCGGCTTAGTTAGTTCGCTTTGCTTGATTTTCAGGGCGGGGTTGTTTTGAAAAGGACAGATGCTAATAATTACAATTGACGTTTGAACAACTTGAGCGTAAACAACATCAGAGGCAGCAATAATTTTTGTCAGTTGATGGTCAGGATTTTCTGCTCCTTTAAAATAGCTGGTTGTACCCAAGAAAACATTGGCTGATTATACTTTCTTGACATGCTGCAAGACTAAAAGATAAATAGTTTCTGGCAGATGTTGATATATCTCAAATGTAAGTAAAACGTTTCCGCTAGCCTATCGTAGGTAAAGTTATCAAGTTCAATCTTTGTGAAGTCCATTCCTTGATAGAGATCTCCCAATGCCGGTTTCAGTGCGATCACTTGAGTTTACATCAAATTCTTAGAGCTAAAAGTAAGTAAACTTTAAGCCCTCACCTAGTTTGCCTTTATTTTTTTCAATGCTCTGATCTCGAGGAGTTACTGCAATATGTTCACAAGTCTGTGGCTCATTCCCTCTGGCCTTGATGATCTAAACAAACAAACAAACAAGCATACAACGAGAATACGCGATGAAATTTTACTTTCCACGATATTCTGAGAAATCTGGCAACACTATTACCGATCTCACCAAAACTGGATCGAACCCAAACCTGTCTCCTCTCGCTACCAATGGGCTAAAACTGGCTCGTCACCCAAAGCAGTAGGTGGTTATTGCTCCCAGTTCAGACCCGGTGGTAAAAAAGGAAGTGTTCTTGACCCTTATTCTTCTTTTCTTTTTTCCTAGTTTAAACCCCCCGATACCTACACGTGACTAGCATCTAATTTCTCCTTACAATATCCCCCCTGAATCAAACATTAAGGTCAGGAGAATAAAGGAAATGATCACTAACTAAAGAATCTTTGGATTGTTAAACAAATTCTCCTTGTTGGCAGCTGAGGAAATGTATAGAGAACAGTATGGAGAATATGCAGAATACTTATGTTAGGAAAATAATCGCATTTTTTTTCTCCTTGGCCTGTTTAGCTTTTCAACTTTTATTACAGTAATGTCTACTCTCGCATAAGTAAACATAAGGGGTGATACGGTAATTAGGTTTTATCAACTAAGTTGATAATGTAGATTGCCCACCTAGAGAGTTTAAAAGCTGACGTTTCGAGCGTTAGCCCTTCGTCAAAGCGAAAGACAAAGGGCTAACGCTCAAAACGTCAGCTTTTTAACTCTTTACGGTGTGCAATCTACATTATCAACTTGATAAAACCGAATTACCTTGTTACCTCCACCGACGGAGCACCACAGTTTCTTTAGAAATTTACCCTCTTTATTCACAAGGGGTAATACTATTTCTACATTTTAAACATACCTGTTTTAAAAGTTCCAGAGCTTTTATTTGTGCCTCAACTTTGCCCATCTTTTGATATTGAAGAGAAATGTTAAAAAGAGCCTCCAGCTGCTGGAAATCATCTTCCAGGGCATCCTTGAACTTTGCTACCGCAGTGTGATGTTTCCCCTTGGAAATTTATACAGAATAATAATAAGTAATGATCGACAACATCTTATTAAGAGGACCTCAAAATGTCACATTGGCTGTATGCAGTCATTTCCAAGCTCAGAGGTGACACATGAAAGCTAGAGGCATTTTCACCCTTTTCCTCCCAGGATCTAATTCCTAATTCTCCTTACTGTCCGCCATTAAATGATTACGATGTCAGTTCAGAGAATTTGCTTTCCCAAAGAATAACCCAACCAGGGCTTGAACTAAGAGCACCCAGTTATGGAATCCAGCCCCTACACCACCAGCCCAAAGACTGCATATTTCACACGTTTTTAATCTTTTACTCAAGAAATCTACCTTGATTGCACAGCAGCATCCCAGCATATTCATAGCCACTGCTCTGTTCTGTCCTTGCGAGAAGGATAAACACTCCTGAAACCATTTCAATGCATCATCCACTTGATTTTGTTGAAAGAGAATGTATCCTGGAATCAGACATAACAAATAAACTCACTAGTTCTTAGGCCCCTCCGATGCACTCTCAAAGGTGTTATGCTCTTATAAACTGGAAGATATTGATACTGGATGTTTGCTATGAGCTATGGGATGTCCAGGAAAGCTATGGGATATTCAGGAAGAAAACCATCAAGGGATCCACTGATGACCACATGTAACCTGTCTACTTTCAACTGTTTATTAAATCGTTGTTAATCTTATACATCCTGCGTTAAGGTCGGTTCGAAATATAACAAAGGTTGAAGCTGTGGATTATTTACAGTTACTCCCTTTGCCAGACTGAAGAGCAGGAACTGAATCAAATGACAGTTAGACAAGGAAAAGAGTATTTCAACTGCCAAATGCACGTTTCTTTCTTTTTTTTGGTTTTTTGTTTTTGCTTTTGTTTTGTTATGTTTTGTTTTGTTTTTTTTTTTTGTAGTTTACTGAATTCATATATGAAGACTCCAAACCTTTGAGATAGAGATCATGAAAACCAACATCATCAGTATTTTTCTTGCACATTAGTGTTTCCAGCGCCTTTTTGTATTCCTTATTTGCAAAGAGGGCAAATGCCAACAAACTAGTCACCACTGACAACAATCTCTGTATATCTGTGGAGGAATACAGTTCGACAAAGCACCACCTTAACTTTTGACACAATTTTGTTTAATATGCACTTGTATTATTATGTTATGCACATTTGATCTTACTCACATGTTAATGCGCACAGTACAAGCCCTAAATTATCATAGTCATCACTAGCCAAAATAGTAACTAAAATAAAAACTACAGTAATATGAACATGTTATCTTGCCTGTCAAGTCTTTGGTTGAGTTGGTTGAGTTGGTAGAGGAAGTAATTATACAGTTAGAAATTGATGAGCTATATTCTAAACTGAAGAGGCATACAGGAAATCGATCAGCATGTACCTAATAGTCAAAAAAAAGGATAACAAATAACAATTCAGAAGCTTATGGTAAGTAATGTATTTGGTAAGTGATGTATCACAGCTAATGTGTTATAATAGAGTTTATGTAGTGTAAGTAATATATATCATAAATAAAGATTTGTGTACAGGTATATATAATTATATATAATCAATTGTGTAGGAAAATAAAATTAAAGCTTTGCACTACAGATCTGTTTCGAAAGGGGGGTCTGGTAGTCCTTTCTTGTCAGGTGCATAAAACACCGGTTGACTTAAGTTCCTTCTATAAGTTGATGGTTCAAGCATGCCTTATCAAGTATTTGGTAGAGTGGCAGCATGCACTCGCCAGTTCATTCCTTTTGTTCAGGGTGCCTGCCCCCAATCTGCATCTGATGTGCAAAGACTGCATCTCTTTGTTACGTTCGAATACGGCCTGGTGCAGGCCATTATATATATATATAAATTTCAGTTATTTTGGTGGCATTGGTGGAGATTATGCCGTGCAAGTGAAAGGCAATTGTAAAGTTGTCACCCCAAGTGTGCAGAAAAAAAGTGGTAAACCTTAATGATAATTTCTATGATTTTAGTTTAACAACCTCAATAATATTATGTAAATAGGCCGCATGTACTTTAAAATCTATAGGTAGACAAAAAACTGTTAAACAAAATATACAAATAGTAACTTGATTATAATGTATCACAATGTTCTTATCTCATTTAACTATTTATAAACTTCCGCTCCCCTTTGGACAGAACGTGGGGAAAAAAAAGTTTAAATTCTCCACTGTGTTAGTAAAGGCTATTGGCATTATCCTTTTTGATCATTTCATTCTATAAACAATGTGGAGGAATTGCAGATACCTTAAATACAACATATACTGATGGTTGATTTATCTATGTTTATAAAAAATGTACATCTAATATATTAGAGCAACATCATCTTTTATAAACTATTTTCCACAGAAAGATATTCAGAGCTACCTCATCAGTAAAATTCATCTTTGAATTCAAAAGTCTCAACTGACTTTGCATCAGGCAAAGGAGTTTAACAGCTTGGTTCACTACAGGAAAAAGACATCAATTAGGTCTTGAATTACCCTCACTGACAGAGAAATGATTGATACTAGTTTGAGAGTCATTTACCATTTGTACTCCCTTAAAACCGTCACCGTGTTTGTTTGGTGTATCATAAAGTTTTCACTGATTTTCCTAATCTTGATTTTAAAAAAAAACACCCTAAGATAAAATTTGTAAGTTATGATTGTAAAGGTTTTCAGACAGACAGATGAACACACCATCAGGCAGAAAGACCTACATGTAAACACACGTAAAGACACTGACTGACAGAGTCTCAAAGTTAAACAGGCAAACACACAGATAACACAGGCATAGCCAGGCACAGATGCTCAGACTGATTATTAATTATAAGTAACCTCACCTTTCTCATCAATTAACCACAGAAATGCTAAAAGGCAGCAACTCAGCACAAGGGGGCCACACCCAATAAATCTATTGATCAATTCTTTAAACAATGCTGGTAGAAGAGTGTCTATAGTACACTCAATGTTTGCTGGACCAAATAGATGTACATTGCTAGAGTCTTCTTCTCCTTGGTGACAAGGTTCTATTCTGAAAGCTGCAAGTGCTGCACGTGTTAAGAAAAAAAAAAAGAAAAAAGATGAACCAATGAAGCCAAAAGTTAAAGGAGAGATTATGAAGGAAGGGCTGAAGGGGGATCAAGGAAAAAATTAGCTTTGAAGTTTTAAGCATGTCAAATTCAAACTTGCTCAACTAGCTGAAAAGAGCCCTGTGAGAAATTCACTTGATCTCATCACAAGGTTTTATCTGCAGGTGTAGAATACTAAAAAAGTTTCTTGAGTCTATATACCATTGTACATAATGGGGTGTGTACATACCTCTACAGATGCTTTGGTGGAGTATAGCTGCAGTTTTGTGAATACCTCCAACGCTAACATTTGCCTGGCCTTGTAACAACAAGTGGCTCAAATTATATGCGACTGCTTGTTCATAGCAAATTAAGGAAGTATCTGGTGGAATGCCTATGAAAGGTAAAATTTAATTCTGGGATTAGTCTCGGATGAACAGCCAGCATTTCAACCTTTTTCTACTTTTTTTCTCCTTTTTGAAGGAATAGGGAGTCATTGCGGATGGGGAAAGGAAATTGCATAATTAAATGCAGTAATAATCAGAATCAACAAAACAAGAGGGAATTGTTTTCCACTCACATAATGTTCATCCTGGCTCAGTAACAGAACATTCCAACCAAGTGTTGATAGGGGCACTGAAACTTGTAGTATTTTAAATGTCTTTCCCAAAACAAGACAGGTATAATGATGACATCCCTTGGGCTTGAATCTACCTTCTTGATCTAGAGTCCAGCCTACCTTTACACCGTTACATCATTCAGGCATCAGCAAAGAATGAAGAGTAAATCTGAGTTCAGGCAATGAATATTTGACCCCATCATGCCCAGCATAAGAAAATCATTAGCCTGTAAGGGAAACCTTAAGAACTGAGGGTATCTTTCCATAGAATAAAAAGGGAGGTGCATTGTTACAAGAACACCCATCAGACCTTGGTAAATTTAAACCCTCATCTCTTAACAAAATGTAAAAATAAAGCTGGTGGAATATCATCACCTTGGACTCTTTCCAACAGAGATGTGAAATTCTCCAAAACATTTTGCACTGATGCTTTACTGTCATCCTCCTTTTTGATTTCATGAGATGAAAAGCAACACTGATCAATTAGGTGTTTAACCTAACACAACTTTTACTAAACAAAGTTTACACCATTACATAGTGTCAGAAGCCTTCCTGGTTGCAGGACCACATTCTCTGGTGCTTGTGAAGTATAATTTCGATCGAGCTGTTTCGATGCTTAGGCAACGTTGGGTTTAACGCGAGCTCGCACATGGGGTGGAGGGCACTCAACTGTTTTACAATCAACTGAATCCCCTTTATTGCTTGAATCAAGGTTCTTATATACATAATGGTAGCTAATTAAAATCATGCGTGATACAAAATACAGAAGGTAATACGAGTTTCCCTTGGAATAAACAACTTAATTACCACATATCCAGAATTTCATAGACATGGGAGGACACTTACATAAATCCTGCGGAACTAGTGTTCTTACGTGTTTTTAGACGGAAAGCATGAACAAGTTTCCATATTCTACGCGACACATAATAGGAATATTTTCACGGGTACTCTAACAACAAAGGGTTACACATAAATCACATTTCCAGCAGTAATTATGTAATCAAAGCTTATTCTAGAATTGTTTGTC